TATATATATATATATATCTTCTTCTTTTTTTTTTTTTTAGCTATCTGGTGCCTCATTTGGCGAGAGGCCACAATGGGACATAGGGGAACATGATTCTGTGCTTCAACAGGGGAGGCGGGCCCGGTTTGGGTAGATCTACCCAGAAATCTCACCTCTCTCCCTACAAATCCACTGCCACCATGTTAATTCCAACTCCTCAGTGACCCCGGTGGGCAGAGTAGAACTGTCCCCTCCGGGTTCTGTGGCTGCATGACGGGTACAGACAGCCTCACTTTTCTCCCTCAGCGTGCTCAGTGGACTTGAACCACAAACCTTGCGGTGAGCAGCCCAGTGCCCAATCCACTGCGACACAAGGGTTTCTGCTCCCTGCCCTAGTAAACAAAATTCCATTATCATTTGATTTTTCCCTCACCCGCCCCAAACCCCGCCCCCCTGGTCTTCTTTGTACTTGCTCAGAAAGACCGCCAAAGAAAGAAAGAGAGAAATCATCGGTAGAGGTATCAAGGTCACAGCTGGGGTGGGGGTGGGGGGTGCAAGTTCAGGTTCGTCTTGGCCGAAGCGCTTGGCTTCATCGCGAGAATTTAATTCTGAGGCTGGTGATTTGAAGGCAGGGGGGGGGGGGATGGCACCTGCCCTGGAAAGTGGGCAGTGGGGAGTGGAGGTGGCGGGGAGGGCTCCCCCCAACCCTGTCTGCCACCCCAGAAGGAAAGCTAAGAGCTACTAGTCACACAAGTAAGGCTATGACTGGGGGTGGGGGTGGGGATACAGACAAAGGCTGAGGGGAGCCAGAGAATGTCTTTTTGTGCGCACAGCGGGAGGGCAGGGCATGGTGGGAGAAGGTTCCGGAAGCGGTAGCTGGGAGGTGGGTCACTCGAGCTGGCCGAGCCCAAAGGCCTGCGAGAATCAGGGTGGGGGGCGGGCTGAGAGTCCAGGAGAGGTATGTCATGGCTGGTAAGTTTTCAGTCCTCACCCCCGAGCCAGCCAGGAGGTGGGGAATGCAGGCATAAGGGCCTCCGGGCCGGCCAGCCTCAGCCCTTCCGCTGTCCCTGCAGAGTGACTGGCCCAGGGTCACCTTCTCTTGGATGGGAGGAAGTCAGAGAGTTTGGTCCCATGGTATATCCGCAAAAAATATATATACTGTCTCTAGCTCCATATATATATACACACACATATATATATAGGAAAAGTTGTGGTTGTGTTGGGGGACCACCAAGATTACGGAGGGGGAGTGAGGAGGCCTCCTCCCTGGGAGTAGGGGACAGGGATGGGGTGAATGAACCACTTGATAGCCCCTGCCCCCACCCAGGAGCTCCCCTCACCCCCCCACCCCCCCACCCCTCCACCCCGCACTCCATATGGTTCTGCAGTGGGAATTTCACATTTAGGGGAAGTGGGGAGGGGTGGGCTGGTGTCCAAACACGGATGTAATTTATGGAAAACTCCTGTGGTTCGGTCGGAAGCGGGTAAACCCACCTCGGGGTGGGAAGATCCCTCACCTGGCGGAGAAGGGATGGGCGTTAGGGAGCAATGATGGGGTGTGAGCGGGCCCAAGGGCGGAGGGGCCCACCTCCCGCCCCACCTTCCCCGGGCCAGGACACGGACTGGGCAGGCGTCCAGGGTTTGGAGGGGGGCACGCCCGGTGATGAAGGGACTTAAATGTTGCTGAGTCTGTTTCGAGGAGAAAGATACCCATTTCTTTTTTTTTTTTTTTTTGACTCCCTGTCCCCCAAACAGGTGGGTTTTGTGTCCAGACACCTCTCACCCCACCCCGCATTTTCTCACCCACTGCTGGGTCCTCCCCCACCCTCAAGCACTGGGAGCCCCCACTCCCAGAGCATTGCAGGTGCTTAGCAAAGAGCTTCTGGTTCACGAGTGAAGAAAAAGGGGGCCCAGTTTGTGGCAGCCATACCCCAGGCCCCCATCAGCGGAGACTCTCAAAGCTGTGCCCTAACAGTCCCCACCAGGCCTTAGCTGAGCGCCTTAATCCACGCCAAACCCCCAGGCGAGGCTTTGGGATGGCCAACACTGTGTTGTTTTTTTATAATCCCAATGAATGACGGAGAATTTTCTAGACAGGGAGTGGTGGGCTCAGTAGAAAAAGACCCCTCCTGCCCGGCCGCAGGGGAAGCCTATTGGCCCCAGCCATTTCACAGATGGGGCTCATGGAGGAGTGGGGGGCAGGGGGGGGGCGGCAGTGCTGAATGTCAAACTCAGCCCCCTTGTGTGCTTGGTTCTTCATTCCCCCCAACCCCATCCCCCATGCCCCCAAAGAAGGTGATGATGTTGTTGATAAAGTCCATTAACCCGCTTTGCAAAATCCTCTGGTGTGCGTACAGGTGCGCCGTGTTCTGGTTGGGCACTGGGGTTGGCGGGTTGGCTTTTGGGCAGTGTCCCTTGGGGGTTCCTCAAGCCAAAATACAGAGCTCTCACAAGAGGCAGCCTCAGCTGGGCTGGGGAGGGGGAGGGTCTTGGGGACGGGGCAGGAGTAGCCGAATGGCCCAGGTCCCTGAGGCCTGCCTCCACTGGCTACTGTCCAGCCCTGGTTCCAAGCTGAGCACCCCCACCCACCCAACCCCTCAGAGGCCAGGGTGGTCTGGGCGTGGACAGGGGTACGGATTTCTTGGATGGAAGGAGGACAGATTTGGGACTCCCAACCGCCGATCCCATCCCCCACCCCCACCCCAGACCAGACCTGGCCTCTTGAGTAAATTCCCAAGGATCCCTTCACCACCTCGACTCCCCACTCCCCCCTCTCCCTGCCCTGACCACTGCAGCTTTGGGGTGTCTTTGTCCAGCTCTGTGGCCACCAACCCAACCTTTGGCCGGGGTGGGGGGGATGTCCCAGGAGTCTTCCACGCAGCTGCCTCTGCGCGCGGAGGGTGGGCGCAGAGGGAGGGTGTGGAGAACGGGGGCGGGGCGGGGCGGGCGGGGCCGCCTGGCGGCTCACCTGGGCCAGGCCCGCAGCCTCCCTCCGCACGGCCGTGAGCAGGGTCAGTAGGGGTGTCCCGGGTCTTTGGGCCGCTTCAGCTGCACTTTGAGCCTCTTCATGCCGATCTGGAAGCCGTTCATGGCCTGGATGGCGGTCTGCGCGCTGGCCGGGTTGTCAAAGCTCACGAAGCCTGTGGAGACGGATGGACGCCGCGATGGGGAAGAGCGTGGGCGTCGTCCACCCGCCCGAGACACGCCCTCCTTAGCTAGTGACCGCTTCGCACCCACTTTCTGGGCTGATACTTCCTCCCAGCATGGGGGACA